CGAGACGACGTATACAGTGACATGCATAATCAAAGATCTAATTCAATTTTCAAGTTTAAAGGAAAAGGCCTCATCCTTTAAATCCAGAACCGTCGAAGTGTACTAAAAAAACGGGACTAGACAGACTAGAACGAGAGCTAGATTCTAACCAATAATACCTTTTTTCCACGTTAAAAGAGGATAGCTAAGTGGACAATTGGGTAAATAGGGAAGATATGCAAAATAGGAAAACTTTATACAGGAATTGAGAGTATGGTAACCACAAGGAAATAGGGTGGTAAAAGTGAAGATGGAAAAGCGGAATAAATATTATGTTCGGAAGTTCAAATATTCAGTTGTCTCTAACATAGCACGATCATCTCTTCAGAAATATGAGAAAGTCTTCACGTCTTCTATGAAATAAGTAAAATGGCAACTTCATCCTCAAAGTAAACGTCATTTTTTTGCATCATTGCAGTAAATTTATCGCCAGTTATTTACAACAACCTACATGCTAATGTCAAATCTTGATTTCGACTATTTTCGCATATTTATTAGCGTAGAGAACGTGTACCTGTTGGCATGGTGATCTCTTATTCCAAGAACTCTTGAACTAAATGGATTAAACCTCATTCTAAATTTCCACTGGAATCCACGATTTCAAAATCAGGCACGTTTTGCTACATTTTATCACTTTTGCAGGCTTGGCCAGGTCGGCTAAAGTTCTTAGTTCATACTTCAGTTTCCGTGAAACAGTTAGCGCAGGCACGTAAAGCCAGTTGTTGACTTTTAACAGGGAAAGTTTGTACAACACTTGAAGATGAGATGGCAATGTGGAACTTTCTAGTTTTGATCAATTATGATAACACATATACATGACGTACCATTCCACCTGTTTCATTTTGCAGCCTAAAATATAGAAGTGGTAAAAACGTCCAGTTTGACGTCGGAATCATAATTCGAAGGTATATTTTGAGCCATGATGCAATTACTCACCAAGATGGCTACAGATCCCCGGGAGGTAATCCCGGAAAGTTTAACGATAAGGTCCGATAGGGATGAGCCACATTTTTTTTCTTGCCTTAGTCTCGAACGCTTATGTTTTGCCAGCTAGGGTGTAGAGAACGTGTACATGTTGGTATGGTGTGCTCCTGTCCAAAGAATTCTTGAATTAAATGGATTAAACCTCATTCTAAATTTCCACTGGAATCTACGATATCAAAATCAGGCACGTTTTGCTACATTTTATTACTTTTTTTTTTCATACTTGGCCCGGCCGGTTATTCTTAGTTCATACTTTATTTCCTGTAAAACAGTTAGGGTAAGCACGTAAACTAATCAACATAACACCGCGATTGTTGACTTTCAACTGCGAATTTTTATACAAAGATAAGATGAGATAGGAATGGGGAACTTTCCAGTTTTGATCAATTTTAAGATAACTGCATGACCAATTCAGTTTCCTGTTGTAGCCTAACTAAAAAGTGGTAAAAACGTCCGGTCTGACGTCGGAATCATAATTCGAAGGTATATTTTGAGCTATGATGCAATTACTCACCAAGACCCAGGGTCCAGAGGAGATGTGTTTGTCGTTAGAACATCAAAACCCGTCGAAAACCTTTGAAAAAATGGGTTATTTTGATCGCGTTACAGTTTCGTTACACATTCTATAGACCGCAAACCAAGACACTGAGGGCTCGCCAGATTGGCTTGCACTTTGTGCCTCGGTCGCCCTTAGGGTGACGTGCCGTGCGCCGGCGAGGATATGGCTTGCGGTTATTGATTTTCAAAATGGCGAACAACAAAGTCGATCTGGGTCAGATAAGAAGCGAAGAAATCGTTTACAGTAGATTCATAAAGATCCCATTGGGCTAATTAATCGTGCTAAGTGACAGTAATTCATTTATTCACACGAAACTCCTCTGGACCCTGTGACCAAGATGGCTACAGACCCCCAGGAGGTAATCCCGCAAAGTTTAACGACGGGGGATAAGCCACATTTTTCTTCTTGCCCTAGTCTCGAAGGCTTATGTTTTGCCAGCTAGGGCGTAGAGAACGTGTACATGTCGGTATGGTGTGCTCCTATCGAAAGAACTCTTGACAGATTAAATGGACTAAACCTCATTCTAAATTTCCACTGGAATCTACGATATCAAAATCTAGCCTGCGAAAACATCCGTTTCTTTTCGCTCTTCGCCGCTGGGGACGTTTCGCGCGAAGGAACGTCTGCGACTCAGCGAGAGAATTCCATACTGATGACGTAAAATCTGTCCGGAATCCGGTCAGAAGCGCTGATTGGTCGACGGAGTAGTTACATTATTTTAGTTATTGTTTACGAATGACAGACAAGAGACAAAAGGCCACAAAGGTCAAATGCAAACGCAAAGAATCTCTAACAGAACAGTCAATATTTGTGGAATATAGTCTTCTCTAGAAGAAGCGTTTGAGTTTCGCTTGGGCTCGTTGGCAGATGAACACAACACTTTACCAAAATCGACCAGAAGACACGTAAAATTGGACCAATTTATATTTGGAACCCCATGACTACTGGATTTATTGTGTAAACATTTATTTGCGTCATCAGTATGGAATTTCTGCCACTGAGTCGCAGACGTTCCTCCGCGCGAAACGTCCCCAGCGGCGAAGAGCGAGGAGAAACGGATGTCGGATGTTTTCACAGGCTAATCAAAATCAGGCTCGTTTTGCTACATTTTATGGCTTTTTTTTTTCATGCTTCGCCCGGCCGGTTTTCTTAGTTCATACTTCATTTCCTGTAAAACAGTTAGAGTAAGCAAGTAAACTAATCAACTTAACACCGCCATTGTAGACTTACAACTGCGAAATTTTATACAAAGATAAGATGAGATGGGAATGGGGAACTTTCTAGTTTTGATCAATTTTGAGATAACTGCATGACCAGTTCAGTTTCCTGTTGTAGCCTAACGAAAAAGCCGTAAAGACGTCCGGTCTGACGTCGGAATCATAATTCGAAGGTATATTTTGAGCTATGATGCAATTACTCACCAAGATGGCTACAGATCCCCGGGAGGTAATCCCGGAAAGTTTAACGATAAGGTCCGATAGGGATGAGCCACATTTTTTTTCTCGCCTTAGTCTAGAAGGCTTATGTTTTGCCAGCTAGGGTGTAGAGAACGTGTACATGTTGGTATGGTGTGCTCCTGTCCAAAGAATTCTTGAATTAAATGGATTAAACCTCATTCTAAATTTCCACTGGAATCTACGATATCAAAATCAGGCACGTTTTGCTACATTTTATTACTTTTTTTTTCATGCTTGGCCCGGCCGGTTATTCTTAGTTCATACTTCACTTTCAGTAAAACAGTTAGGGTAAGCACGTAAACTAATCAACTTAACACCGCGATTGTTGACTTTCAACTGCGAAATTTTATACAAAGATAAGATGAGATGGGAATGGGGAACTTTCTAGTTTTGATCAATTTTAAGATAACTGCATGACCAATTCAGTTTCCTGTTGTAGCCTAACTAAAAAGTGGTAAAAACGTCCGGTCTGACGTCGGAATCATAATTCAAAAGTATATTTTGAGTTATGACTCACCAAGATGGGTACAGACCCTGTCCTAGTCTCGAAGCTTATGTTTTGCCAGCCACAACACGGACAATCTAAGAGGAAGACCTAGAACCACGTACATACACACTCTGCGTGAGAACACTGGCCAAACCAACAAACCAACTACAGTAGAACTCCGCTAACTCGAACTCTGAAGGGAAACGAATCGAAAAACAGTTCGAGTTAGCGAGGGTTCGAATTATCGGGGTCGATTGCAAAATTTAATTTGCCATCCTCAAATTGATAGCTACTGATTTTTCACCACTTCAGTATATACACTGTTGTTTAGTGCAAATCTAACTTATTTCAATAGAAACGACAAAAAGATTATTATAACCAGTTTTAGTGATAAAACGTGATCTGTTCGTTGTACCAATTAAAACAAATTGCTGTAGCGTTGACTAGTGTAAGTTTTAGTGTTTTTCCTCTATACAACAAGAGGAATCTATGGAATGACATCCGAGTGTAGTTACAAGAACCAAAATTCGAGTTGTAGGGGTAAATTTTAGTGAATTTTTGATCAAGGGAAAGGAAATTTAGTTCGAGTTAGCGGGAAATTCGAATTATCCGAGTTCGAGTTAACTGAATAAAAATGACTGAAAACTATCTCCAGTATCATATCAGAAAATTAAGCAGACCATACGCTTTGTAGCCTGAGTTGCAGTAGTTTCCTGGGGTTGGATATTGGCTTTATGGAGGGCAAAAAAGAGCTAAAAGAGTGATTCTGATTATGAATTGAAGGCGCGACACATTGTCACGTGACGCCAGCATCGACGATATCAAACACAGCACAGTGCTTTCGTTGCCCATAATTGTAACATTTTTTATGCGTACCACAAGAGATTCAGTGGTCTAACTTTGTACAGGCTATCACAGAAACTTTATTTTAGCTTCGTTCAACGTCATAGGAACACTTTTCAACCATTAACAGGAGTTAAAGATTTATAGAAACTCTTTCTAACATACGTGAAGACCGCGTGACAAAGATGATTATTCAGTGTGAAGAAGATGTCCCGTCTATAATAAAACTCTCGGTTGATAAGGTAACGACAAGCAGAGAACGAGCATATTAATTAACGTTTATTTCTTTTCGACTATTTTTCTTCAACTTTGGGTCTATCCATGCTACACAGGTTGGGCAACATTCACTTTACTATTGTGGACACTTGGAACTTCAACCACAGGACGGTGACGAATGACATCTTACATTAGTTAAGAACAACAAGACAACCAAACCAAGTGCCCGAGGGAGCAGAGATGACTCATAATATACCAAAAGTAATCAATAAACAATTATTGTGAGAGGCTGAGAATGATACGAAAAACTTGACAGATCGAAAATGAAATGCCGAGGTGTATAACATATTTTGATAATCATTCAACTATTTCTAGTAGAGTATTAGAAAACTTCTAACGGAATGTCTCACGTGACTCATGTCTCTTGTGCCCTCACGTGACTAGACGTGGGGCGTGTACTGCTCTTCTGTATTTCAAAACGCATAATATGATGAAAAAGGATACGATCTTTAGAGTTTGCTTTCACGTCAAAGTAGTTTAAGTTCAGATTTTCCGCCAGTCTCTTGGCCAAAACACGTAGCTTCTGTACGATGAAGAACAAAAATAACGAATTGTAAAAGTAACTACATACCGGGTGAAGATTTGCCTATCAAGAGTCTTTGCGACACCGAAACTGAAATCTTTTATAATGATCTTAGTACAAACATTTTTAAAGTAAAGATAAACAGAAAAAGACATCTACAACGCAGTATTTTCGTCTAAACAACATTATAAGAGTACTCTTAAGGTTCTTTCGGCATATTAGGAGGATTTTGCGTCTATTTATGTAATTTCAATTTAATTAAACTTTTTCACACAAGTATATATAAAGCTTTTCGTTATTAGAATCACTAACGGAAACATGCACTACCTAGTTGTAAATTTTAGTCAATGAATAGAAAAATTGTAATCGTATTTTATTTTTCATGAATTGTGGTTGCAGTCAATTACTTGATATGAGGACTTTGTAAGCACTTTAATACTGACATAGTTTTGAAAAGAAACAAGTCTGTCCAGGTAACATACGATAAAAAATTAAAAACAAGGTACAAAAACACACCTTATCATTTTTGGAATAAGACGTGATCTTTTGTTCCGTTACGTGAAAACCATTGAAGACAACATAATAATACATCTCACCCGCACCTTCAAAAGGAAAGAAAATAATGGTTGCATCAGGCCTCGATCAGCAGAAACGATTTAATAAATAAGAACGCATTCAAAAAAGTCCTCCTAACTAAAAGATATCCTGATTTAACTGCTTCTAAAAAGGGAAACAACTTGCCAAGTCATTTTAATTCAGCTGTGCATTTCAGGGGCGGATCCAAGATTTTTTTTGGGAGGGGGTGCACTCATCTCTTGCTCTACTTCAACACCAATAAACCACATAGTTTTTTTTTTTTGCAGAATACCAGTTGTATTAGAAAACCGCAGGTCATCTCAGGGGGGTGGCGCACCCCCTGCACCCTCCCCCTAGATCCGCCCCTGCACTTTCTGGTTCGAGAACGACGGGAGGATTTCCAGCAATATGACACGTATTTTTATTGACAGTCAGGAGTATCAACTTTGGAAGGGCACGATAAAGCAAATCCTGTTGTATTTTGATTGGCTACAAAAACAGGCAAGATGGTCCTGTCTTGCTCACTCGTGATTTCCCGCAAGAAAAAGAATGCTTTTGGCAACATAATAAATCTTTTATTAACCAACTTTGTAGGGTCAAGATGACTGGATATTGGACGACTTTGTTTCCTCTTTGACAGCTTTTTTCCCGCGTTTTTAAGGGAAAATATGGCTTGGCCAAAACCCTGAGTCATCTTGACGTCAAGTCACTCAAAACCCGGCACGTAATGGGCACTAAAATGACCAATCGCATCACGCTTTCAATTGATGACACGATTAATAAAGGAAATAAACACGTCATTACAACAAAAATCCTTAAAATTAGGAGCACATTGGGGAACAGCACGACGCGCAGGGCGATAAAACAATGATAACTTACCATGTTTTTGAGCCTTTAGCCTGATGTAAACATTGTGGAACTTGCCAGTCTCCACTGAATGTTCATTGATTACACACTTGTACTCCATTTGCTCTCCGTCTAGTACGCATGTGCGATGGCCACGGTTTTCCCAAGCCATAATGGCCGACACGGCACCAACCAAGGTAGGGAACAACATATATTGCTAGGGAGTGAAGATCCAGGTCAGCATTACATGTAGTCAGTAGTACGTGAGGTTATTCAGATTAATTAACTTCAGCATGGATAGGCTACTCCCGGTGGAAGTGGTAGACAACGATTTCCAAGTTTTCCAACAAATGTTATTGTGCAGCAGTGAACCTGCACAATGAAGGGCTAATTTTTGTTCGGTCAATAACTTTTATTCGGTCACGATTAGACTAAAAGGGCAAAGTCGAATCCAGACGTAAGGAATCAAACTAAGGCATCACAACAAAAAAAGATAAAAGAAAGTTACATACTCTGTTCCACGCTACGCTTAGTTCCAAGACCCTCTTAGTTTTCATACGAGTCTTTGAAAACCGAGAGGCGTTAGAGAACTAACTGCCATTTTTCAGACAAATACTCACGCTAGCCTTGTCTGCAAGTCCCCACGTGATCAGCGTTGCTATGGAAACCACAGTCATGAATAACCCGATGTAAAGTCGTCGACGACTGAAAGTAAGCTCAAACTCTGCAATCAGAAAGCTTACTATTGTTAGGCTATAATTAACCCCTTGAAACCCAATATCAAAATACAAAATCACATTTGTTGTCCCTCTACATTTCCTATAGAGGTAGTAGGGAGAAATTGTTTAAGAATCAACCATATTCATCTTGTGCGATCATGTCCCTAATTCTCGTCACCCATTTGTTTTGTAAAGCATTGACATCACAGGGAGAATTTTGATACTGATCACCTGATCTTTCCTCTCGCTCTAGGCCAAGTTGTTCGAAGGCCGATTAGCGCTAACCCGAGGTCAAATTCCATTTCCCCATTTCTTTTTCGTTTGTTCCAGAGCATTTTTCGGATAATTTTCCCTATTCTTTTTAGAGCATTCAATCGCAAATTGTATAGACAAAAAGAATTTAACAGAATTTGCTTTTTTTAAAAGCCTTCTTATCTCAAATTTCCCACTTATGTGACCTTGGGTTATCTTAAGCCAGCTTTGAACATCCCGGTCCTTGATCTTTCATTTGGTTTGTTCCTTTGTTTGTTTCTTTGTTCTTTCGTTTTGTCTTTTCTGTACTGTAAGCCCAGAAAGACTAATGGCTTTCGTTACTTTTAGGGGACTCACGCTCTAAAGAGAAAAATTACTTCTGCAGTTGTCGCGCAAAATCGCGAATATAATTACGCGTCAGGTTAACGCTCTGCCGATGATATTTGATAAAATACTTACTGTTTTTTCCAACCTTTTTGAACGGATGGAAAGGATTGGAATTAAGTCTCCTATTAAAAATAACTTCTGGCTTTTCAAGGATTTCAAGAGTTTTGAGGGCTTTCTTGAAGCCCATTTTGCCTCGTATGCTCTTTTTTCATGGACGTTAAAGATTTATGATGTCAGAACATTTGTGACGTCAGTGTTATACACTTGCTCGCGCTATAAAGCGTTTTCGGACAAAATGCGAGAGCACCCAGCCAATCCCAATCTTTCCTTTTTGTCATTCAAAGCGACAAAAGGCTTCCGGAAATAAGGCCTGGTTCCAATAGAAATTATTTCTGAAGAAACAGCGGTCGACGTAGGATCAGTAGTTTATTCACGCGAGAAACTTCGCGGGGTCGCGGGTTCGATCCCCGGGGCCCGACCAATACTCAGGGTCCTAAAATGACTGAGAAATGAAGGTACTGCCTTGGCCATGTTGGCCCTGCAAATGGCTAGACCTTCGCGTGGCTCGGATGACTACGTATAAAAATGGAGGTCCCGTCTCCAGTAGGAGATGTAAAAAATCGTGTCCCCAGTTGGTACTTTCGTGCTTAATACATTGACACTCAAATAGAGTACATTGATTGATTGATTGATTGACCGATTGATTTAAAATAAGTAAACTCCTCACCTCACCGCTAGCCCCGCAGGACCCCCAACCCCCCCCCGCATGCTTAGTTTTGACCGCGTGGAGCTTGGGACCAGGGGAAACCAAGATGGCGCCTGATAATGGCGCTCATGTCAACAATGTTCAACTTCAAATCGAGAAATGCGCAAAGATTCTGCAAGAACGCAGCTTGGTCTTTCATATCAGTGGTTTATTAACTTCTGGATCGTTTAACTGTGATAAGAAGAAAGTACTTTATTTTGAACACAAACCCCAGTCAATGACGTCAAAATGATCTTGCACTGGATGGAGAATCTTCTTCAAAGTACAGGTAGGATGTAACGGTTTAAGCTTACAAGGAAATTTTGGAGCTGTCGAAGCTACATAGCAGTAGTTTAGTTAAGAAATTTTAAATTAGGTCTTGTCAGAATTGCTTGGGGTAAGAGGCCTTATGTCAGCTAGGGATGGGTGAGAAGTCAAAATGTTTTTTGCTGTTAAGTATTGTAGCTTTTTTAAGTCACGTGCCCAATTCCCTAGCTAGTGCTGGCAGAAATGGAAAGTTACAGAGTGGTTTATTTTTTCCCCAATTTTGCACAGTCTTCATCCTGTTACCCCTAACAGGATCTAATAATATTATTTCTCATGATAGCCCTTCATAAATAATAATAAATAATTAACAGTTAATAAATGAGGCTGAGTATCTTATGAAGAATTATGGAGATCAAGGAGGGTGTAACCCTCCGAGATCTCCATAATTCTTCATATGATACGAAGGCCGAATTCAATAACTGTTTTATTATTCATTCACAATAATTCCTAGTTTAAAATCATAGCTAAAACATGCTTACCTCCATTGATCCATCGATGTTCAGTTCATCTTCGATAGTGTATGTTTAGCTTTGTCCAGCACTGCAAATATTCTCCAAATAGCAACCTGCGAAAATGCTGCATTTTTGACGTCATTTCCTCGTTAAAGTCAAATTTCTTCCAAATTTGGTCATCAGTAACTGGTTATGGTGAATTAAACGTGTGCTTTTAGCCAATCAGAATCGGGGAAATATTTTGAATGAATAATAATTAGCAATTAATGAGTAGGATTACTGAGTGACGTAGGATACAAAGAATTAAGCAGGTCGAGGAGGGTGTTATCCACAGAGGCCGAACTCCGAGGTGGATAACATCCTCCGAGATCTACTTAATTCTTCATAGCCTACGAAAGCCAAATTCATTGATTGCTTTATTATTCATTCAAAATAATTCCTAGCTGAAAAACCTAGCTAAAACATGCTTATCTGCATTGAAGTTAAGTTTATCTTCAATAGTGTACGTTTAGGTTTGTCCAGCTCCGCAAATATTCTCCAAATAGCAGATGTCGCCCTCCGAGTTGTCTTCTTGCTATTTTTGCTATGTTTTTAGCCGTTATTTCACCTAGTTCCAGCTGTAGTTCTTATACTCTTGAAACAAGTGAGGTGTCCGCCATTTTAGTTTTCACAATGAAAACAACTCAACCTCGTTTCCAGGTCTTCTCGGTTAATGGTGCATTAACCTGTAGAAGGCTGCATTTTTGACATCATTTCCTCATTAAACAGAAAATTCTTCCGAATTTGGTCATCAGTAACTGGTTAGGGTGAATTATGTGTGTGCTTTTATCCAATCAGAATTGGGGAAATATTTTGAATGAATAATAATATTCTCTTATTGGTCACTTCTCTCTACCCGAGTCTTGTTCCCTTTTTTTGTTATTTGCCATTACTATCAATACATTGAAGCTCTATCGGGACACCCTCTGGACATGAAAAAGGTTTTCCTTTTTGGAGCTGGCTGCGCTTCTCAGTACAGGAGCTTGCCCAGCTAGAAATAAACATTGAAAATTCAAAAACCTCTTAGTGTTTGACTATTGTTCTGACAATGATGTAATTCAGTCACAAGCATAAAATTCAAGCGGTGTTTTAAAGTGTAACTGGGTTTGTAAATGAAGAAAAATAACACAAAGGCTGACATAAATTGATTGTGATGAACAGTGTTATAAAGTTGATATATTCAGGGTGTTCCTCAGGCACTGGAGATCAGAGAATTCTCCATTTACTACACAGAATTTTCTGGCAGACATTTGGTAGCCTACCACTATTTTCTATTCAGACGTGGAGCCTCTTTCAAAATATTCTCCTGTAATGTTATACCTTTCTCCTGCTACTAGAATTCTTAATGAAAAGCCTGTATTTTGAAACGCAAGACTGAGAGGCAAAGAAGATTCCATTTCAGGTGTCTACTTAAGGGACCTTAAAATCTAACCCGTATGCCCTAAAAGTGTCTCCAGCTGTCCACAGTCAGTGATTGTCCACTTATGGAAATGTCATAATACAGAGTTTTTATGGGAGTTGAAACGCAGTTTTGTAAAGGTGGCTGCAAGTAGAACTGTCCACTTACAACAGTGTTTATTTAGAGAGCTTCCACTGTATTACTATTAATGCATTTAAATGCAATTTAAAGGAGTTAACAACTAAGAGCACCTTAAGTGCCTGAGGTCAGTGGTCTTTGGCATGCGCATGCCCAGTAGCTGGCTACATTGATCATGTGATTCTTGGGCGCGTTCAGTTGAACCTTTTAACGTGACTGTTGCTGCGGAGCCTAGTCCTGACTTCAGCTGACTAGTCAGTTCCCTTATTCAGTTCACTGCTACCCCCTTCTTTTTGAATCCCTTTATAGTTTACACATAATAATAATAATAATAATAATAATAATTAATAATATAATAATTATTATTATAATTCCTCTATTTACCTTCGGCAGTATGTGTAGCACTTATGCTAGTGGGGCCTATCAAATGACTGTAACAAGTAATTCAAATCAAACATAACTGGGTTAAGAATCCCAATTGGCCAGAGGCAAACCAGCTGGCTATTTATAAGCAGAGGAGGATTTGAACTCGGGACTACTGTGAACAAATCCAGCTAACAGTCAGGGCGGGACTTGATCTCTGGGCCTCTGAATTGCAAGTCCAGCACTCTAACCGCTTGGCCACGCTACCTCCTAATGCCTCCTATCACATCACGTGGCTGTGACTTCTTTATTTTCATTTATTTGAATGACTTTTTGTTTTGTCGCAGTTGTAAGTCTCAAACGTAACGGACCAACAGCTGAAGTTGTTACGCGAAAGAGAAACAGAGAAAAGACAGAACAAAATGAACCAAAATGTTTATACATTGTAATAATTTCTTGTTTTACATTGTTTGGGGCATAGCTTCCTAGCAATTGTTCTTCATACATTGTAATAAAAATTTTTCCTGAAATTGATACCCCGTTCTAGAAATGGGCCAATTTTTTATACCCCGTTTAGAATTCGCTTTAAAACTGATACCCGTTCTAGAAATGGGCCAATTTTTATACTTGTTCCAGGGTGCAACAAGAGTATGACAGTTTGCTTGTTAACGCATTGAACCGTATTTTTAAAAGCAAAAAAAAATGACAGTACAGAAATGATAAAACAGAACATGACATAACACCATTCTCATATACAGGAATTGCATTGCCCCGGGATAGCACCCCCCAAAATATATATGTAACAAAAAAATGACAGTAAAAAAATGATAAAACAGAACAACATAATGATATACAAATTGCATTGCAAAATATAAATATGCTTGAGAATGGAAAGCACATAAATATGCTTGAGAGGACTAAGCTTACTGGGGAAACTACAATGACTAGGATGACTTAAATTGTTTCAACTTTGTTCGAAAGACACATGGTGACTAGGGTGACTAGGGTGACAAGGGTGACTAGGATGACTAGGGAGACTTAGGGTGACTAAGGTGACTAAAGTGACTTGGGTGACTAGGATGACTAGGGTGACTAGAGTGACTTCGGTGACTAGGGTGACTTCGATGACTTGGGTGACTAGGGTGAGATAGGGTGACAAGGGTGACTTGGATGACTAGGGTGACTAGGGTGACTAAGATGACAAGGGTGACTAAGGTGACTGGGGTGACTAGGATGGCTTGGGTGACTATGGTGACTTGGCTTACTAGAGTGACTTCGGTGACTACGGTGACTACTGTGACTACGGTGACTAAGATGACAAGGGTGACTAAGGTGACTGGGTTGACTAGGATGGCTTGGGTGACTATGGTGACTTGGGTTACTAGAGTGACTTCGGTGACTAGGGTGACTAAGATGACAAGGGTGACTACGGTGACTGGGGTGACTAGGATGGCTTGGGTGACTATGGTGACTTGGGTTACTAGAGTGACTTCGGTGACTAGGGTGACTAGGGTGACTAAGATGACAAGGGTGACTAAGGTGACTGGGGTGACTAGGATGGCTTGGGTGACTATGGTGACTTGGGTTACTAGAGTGACTTGGGTGACTAGGGTGACTAGGGTGACTAGGATGACTAGGGTGACTAAGGTGACTAGGGTGACTTGGGTGACTATGGTGACTAGGGTGACTTTGGTGACTAGGGTGACTAGGATGACTAGGGTGAC